CAATCAATCACATTTTTAATTTCTAATGAACCTCTAACAAAATCCAAAGTCTCAAACATAAATTTGTGGTTAACGGTGTCACATGCTTTATAAAAATCTACAAAAAATACAAAAGTTTCACTATCAATATACTCATTATAATCAATTAAATCTAGGACCAAACAAATATTATTACTTATATCCTTGTAAAATTCGCTAACCAAACCATCGTTACCGAGAGATTTATTGTCTTTTAATTTACTGATCCCAAATCTAACTTCTTCTATAGAAATATCTTTGTCGCACGACATCATACTATCCTGATCTATACATTTAGCATTTGCTTTAATGCTTTCTAAAAAAAGTCTTGTATTGCCATCATCTTCTTTACTATATAACGTCTGATAAAAGGTTGATATATAATTAGAAAGTTTAACATAATCTTCAGACACCTCCCCATTCATATGCAGTTTTAATACAGAATTCAGCTCAGCATTTCTTTTTTCTAAATTTAAAAAGTACCTGGAGTTTTTCTCCTTCTTCAAGCCATTTTCCTAGACCTTACAAATGCCCCTTTGGCTTTATATTCATACATCTCATCTAATTGTAACTGTAATTCAAATAACCTGAGTTTGTCCTGCTGATTCATTACATGAATACTTGTCAAATTAACTATCTCTTTTATTACTTGTTCCTCTCTAGTCCTTTTAGACTGTGCTATTATTTTTCCTCTAACAATAGTTTGCTTCCTTCTAAGGTACTTCATGTACTCCAATTGGTACCATACTTATCTGAACTTTTTGCATTGTTCCAGCACCTCAAAATAATATTTTTAACTTCCTTTTTAAACAAGTCATCTTCCAATATTGCCTTATTTAATTTCCAGTGTGTTCGTGTTCTTATATTTTTATTAGTATCGCTCTATTCCCTATATATCGAATGTCGAAGTTTTACGTGACGTACAGCGCGTCATTCTACTTCCTGTTTGGAGGCGGTTCTAGTTCTGTAAACAATTTAAACAACTTGATGTGAACCGACCCTGTACTGCAGATCAGGTAAAATAACAGCCGTCCTGTTTTACATAGTTGAAAAAAAAAAGCGTAATCCTATCGGTATTTACTGCATACGAACGGTCATTTAGCTACATAAATTTACGTGCCGACTGTCTTACACAAGTCAATGTCACGAGTATTTGTTGTTGTTGTTGGACGCTCATTTTGACTGTCACAATGGATACGAGTTGCACAATTAAGACCAACACTAGACAGGAGGACATGATTATTATGCTTTATTACTATTGACATGACAGTGGCTAAATATATTTGGTCTTGGTTGGTTCTAAGTGGCTACAACTCCACTGTGTGTTGTCGTCTAATCTTCAGCACTTGCCTTTATTTATCAAGCAGAGGACCAGGCATACATACAGACAGAAGGTCATGAAGGCTGCAGACTCAACAGTGTCTAATAGAGGAGAGAACATCCTTGCTGAGAGCGACGATGATATTCTCAGGTACCTTTCGTTGATGCATCTTAAGTTATAGAGAATGCATCCATACTGGTCTTGTCCTAACCTGACATGCTTGTCATAATGTTTCTAGCTTCATGATGTACTTGTTTCTAGGGTGCATCAAGCGTCTCCACATTAGAAAAGGTTTTACACCTAAAGAAATGAATAGTACTTTTGACAAAAATGGGATGAAGACTGCAGTCAGTGGTTTAGAAATATCTATTCAGAATGAAATACAAGCACTATTTAAGGTTGGATTACACTACACAACTTTTAAAACCTGAACGGATTTTAAAACACTAGGCATCTTACACCTGCTGACTTTGTAAATGGTTACACAGAAAAAAAAAAACTGGGCATCATACACTAACTAGTGTATTTCTACAATGCCATTAAAAACTCAAAATGAAGTGACTCTACATCCAAGCCAGTAGGTGGCAGTATAGAGCATAAACAATTTTTATTTTGATAAATCTCTTTTTCAGTCATGATGACCTGTCAGAAGTGTTGACGGCTGGAACCAAGGAGTCTCACGACAAAGCAGAGAACTCGCCATTTGTCAAGGACTTCCTGAGGAGACGAATCAAACGAGAGCCATTTAAGGTGAGTCTAGTGTTCATGGACTCTTGTAGTTTGATAAAAGAGCCGATCGTGTTCTGACCTCCATTCTTGTGCTATTTTGTAATTTTTTTTTCAATCTCCAGCTTGGCACAGTTGCCCTGTACTATGTTTATTCTGCCATTGAGGAAGAGATCGAGAAGAACAAGAACGACCCCATGTTTGCCCCATTATACTTCCCCCTCTGAGCTTCACAGACGAGACGCCTTGGCCAAAGACCTGGAGTATCTCTACGGTGAAGACTGGGAGAGCAAGATCTCCTGCTTTGCAGCCACGCAGCCCTACGTGGACCGCATTCACGAGGTGGGTCGTGACGACCCGGTTCTTTTGGTCGCGCACGCTTGGACCCACTACATGGGTGATCTGTCAGGAGGGCAGATTCTAAAGAAAGTGGCTCAGCGGGCCCTGAAACTGCCCCCTACTGGTGAGGGAGTGAACTTCTACCATTTTGAGGGCATCCACAACCCCACAGCCTTCAAGAGGCTGTACCGCAGTAGGATGAATGAGCTGGACGTGGTTGCTGAGACCAAAAAGAAGCTGCTAGACAAAGCCAACCTGGCTCTTAAATATAATTTAGATGTAAGAGGATTATCAAATATGACTTCCTTTTATTGGTCCATTTTAAAGGAATCGTTCACCTAAAAATGAAAATGTGCTTATGATTTACTCACCCTCAGGTCATCCAAGATGTAGATGAGTTTGTTTCTTCTTCAGAACAGATTCATTACATCACTTTACTCACCAATGGATCCTCTGCAGTGAATGGGTGCCATCAGAACAAGAGTCAAAACAGCTGATAAAAACATTACAATAACCCACAAGCAATCCACACGACTCCAGTCCATCAATCAATGTCTTGTGAAGTGAAAGCAAGATGTTAATTGATGTACTGGAGGCATGTGGATTACTTGTGGATTATTGTGACTCTCATTCTGATGATTATCAAATATGACTTCCTTTTATTGGTCCATTTTAAAGGAATCGTTCACCTAAAAATGAAAATGTGCTTATGATTTACTCACCCTCAGGTCATCCAAGATGTAGATGAGTTTGTTTCTTCTTCAGAACAGATTCATTACATCACTTTACTCACCAATGGATCCTCTGCAGTGAATGGGTGCCATCAGAACAAGAGTCAAAACAGCTGATAAAAACATTACAATAACCCACAAGCAATCCACACGACTCCAGTCCATCAATCAATGTCTTGTGAAGTGAAAGCAAGATGTTAATTGATGTACTGGAGGCATGTGGATTACTTGTGGATTATTGTGACTCTCATTCTGATGGCATCCATTCACTGCAGAGGATCCACTGGTTGAGCAAATGATGCAATGCTACATTTCTCCAAATCTGTTCTGATGAAGAAACAAACTCATCTACATCTTAGATGGTCTGAGGTTGAGTTCATTTTTGGGTGAATTAAGTTATGTGCATTTATGTACATAAAAACATTAATGTTTTATTAATAGTGATTTTTGTACTTACTTTCTCCGTGTTCTTTGTTTTTCCATTAGGTATTCACAGAGCTGCAGAAGATTGGGAAAGGCATAAAAGAGGAAGTGCAGGACACTGGCTTTCATGCTCATGGGGATATGGGTGGAGACATCAGTAAATGCCCCTACTATGCAGCCAAAATGGGTGAGGACGTTGTTAGGGACACTATATTTCTGAATATATTGTTTTGTATTATGTATATTTAAAATGCTTTGTTGTTTTTAACTCAACTGCTTCCCTCATTTTCTGTCTAGCGGTGAGTGGAAACACGACCTATGCATGTAATTTTGCCAAGATGCTGCTTTGTCAGTCCACAGTACAGGTGATTCTGGCCACATGGGTCGCTGCTGTCGCTGGATTGGCTGCTTGGTACCTCATGTGATCACCTTAACCTGAGTCAGCCAATAAGAAATGAAAATAGGAACAGCTGGGCTTCAAAGTGGAAATCTTTCACTCACTGGGTCACTTTGTGAAAATGTTGCTGCTGATCTTATAAATATGTAAAGTCACTGACTGGACTTTTAATCCGTGCCACATATTTGTAGTAAACACAATGCTTTTACAGGAAATTATGACATTCTTCATTCAGTTTTCCTTCTCAGTCAAGAGTGCAAGCACACTTTCAAGGGCATGCTAGAAGACATGCTTAAAAGGAATCTGGCCAATGGCCATTTGTGATTGCAGTTGCACATTGTAATACACATTTTCATAGAAAACATATTCAGGTATGTCACTGTGGTGCAGTGAATAATTCATAGGAGTGCTGTCAGTTCAGATTTTTATGTCCACAGAGTGTGGCTTTATAACCAAGTGAAAACATGGACATTTTAAATTTTGTACTTGAGGTTATTGTATTGTTACCACCCAACCAATCAATACAGCAAATATGACAAAGAAATGTACAACTCTCATTAGAAGGGTTTTACTCCCGTGGCTCTTTTCTAATCAGTTAAATACAGATTTCTGGCATGAAACTCTAGATGGCGCAGTCCGATAGGTCTAACTCAATCTGACCTAATGCCATCATCACATGGCACAGCTGATTGGTTCTCTCCTTTATCGGTAGCCAATGAGCTCGCTGCCAACATTCAAATATATGACTAGTGCTTGCCGTAGCAGTGCAGCTTGCTTCAGAAACTCTCCACCTTCCCCAGCTCCACCTGTATAGATCTGCTATGAGGTGATTCATGTACGTACGCTATATGGGGGGTTATTTCATGTATGTTATATTTGCAGCAGCAATATTTCTTACAAGCTCACAGCAGCATGTTGTGGATGTCTTGGCAGTAGCAAGTCTCTGTACTTGCTCTGCCGCAGCAGCAGCGTAGCAGATCTATTCCGCCAAGACCAAATACATTAACATTGTCATGTACATTACCATGCCAATCCCTCCGAGAGTTGTCATGACAGAACTGATGCTGTTATAACACTTCCCACTCTCATTTTCAGGGGGAAAAAAAAATGAAATATGTAGTGCCCTACAACTGCAAAACACAGTAGTTACACCAACAACAAAACGTGATACAATGTAAACAATATACAAATAGAAAGTGCAGGTAAATAAATGTGATTTAATCCTATTATCTTGCTGTTTTTCAAAACGGGTTTGTTACTTTACTGTATTTTTCATCCGTTTTCTAACACTGTAAACATCTGAATGGGTCACGGAGGTGTAAAATGTAGCCAAAACTTTGGCCGCATAAATAATATACAAAGTCAAGTGAAACCCTGACTTATATAGAATCATGCTCTTATTTTACATTCAGCACAGCGTTAATTTGCTACTGTTTGCTTTAGAGATGCTCAGTCTTCACGTGAATATCGCATTCCAGACACTCTTTGCACTCTTCCGCGTGCAGTTTCCTGAAACCTATATTCATGTCTCTTATGGCTTTCCTATAGGTTTCATATGAACATGCCTTTGCACTTTTGCCTTTAAAGTCTTTATACATCATCATGACGGTTACATTGCTTGATAAATATCGCCTGCTTTCAGCATGTTCACATTTACAGTGACTGACAGTTGGACTGAACGATTCAATGTGTTTGTGAATTGGCGACAGATCTATTTTATTGGCCGGTGGGTGACGCCCTCTGCGGTCTGGAGGAGGAACTGCACTGGACGTGTTGCCCGTCACGCTGACAATCATGCTGTCGTTTTTCGGGTGGTATCCAAATGTGGTTAGGTAGCAGGTTTTGCAAACATCTTGAGGTTGTCTGAGGCGGTTATTCAGATGATACTGAAAAGTCTTCTTGCGTCTGCTGGGACCTCCCGTCGTGAGACGGTTTTTCAATGATTGGGTAACTGAGTGAAATACAAAAGCCCACTTGTCACTGTGTGACATGTCCTGATAGGCATCAAATATCTCTTTTCTTCGAACATGCGGGATCTTCTCCGTACATTTCTTTCCACATGTAGGACCACAGGGTTTGCCCATCTTTGGTGTCCTTTGACTTCTTATTTGTACCGGACAGAATTCTTCATCCTTGAGTGCCATTTCATCTTCTTCACTCCCGCTGTCTGTTTCCTGTTTAATAGAATTGACTTTGAAAGTGCCAAGCACACGGTTTGTTGATCACTGTTATGAACAGATTCAGATCTAACTGAATTGAATAAATCTAGCACTGATTAATACGGATATTAGACTTATCAAATTAGATAAATTATTCAAATGTTTTTTTTAACCTTTTTTTTTTTTATGTTTTAGATTAATCAGACATAGGGGTGGGTGATGTGACCAAAATCTTATATCACAATACAAGTAATTTTATTTCACGGTAACGATATATATCACAATATAGTTTTTTTTGCTTTAAATAAGGTCTTTATGATATCGAAATTTTTGATACCATAGAAATTTCATAATTCTTGCCACCAGTATCAATATCACAAAAAAACTAGCTTAAATAAAACAAAAAAACAACTCAAGCTCACTGAAGACAAGTAAACAGTCAGCGATTAAAACAAGAATAAGAAACTAATTATAAGCAACAGGACAAAAAAATAGATCAAATAAATAACAAATGCTACATACATTGTCTAAAGTAATCAAATGTATAAAACACTGCATATTCTTCAGCGTGTAAATTAAATATATATTTCTTCTTATTAAAGTTACAAAAGTGATTTAGCTGTCACTTTAAGAGCTGCCCTGATCTAATATACTGTTACACATGTGTTTTCTTTCTCAACTATTTGCTTTCACTTAAGACCTAAATTACTGTGTTCACGACGATACTTGCAAAGACGGGCATTTTGACACATACAAGTGTGTGTGTATTTAACTGCTCAAGGCCTATAAAGCGTCAAAAATAACTCGGTTCAATACAGTCTCTCAGACAGTGCGTGCATAGAGCAGAATGAGTTCTCTTTTGTTTTTATTCTCACTTGTTTTTAAACCACAAAGCTTAAAAACGTGTGCAAATGATAAGTTTTCGTGACCATGTAGCACAGCCACTACACGTGTCTAGCGGTATACTGCCTACCCCTAATCACACACACCATTTAATTATAACAGTAATTACAATCAGACTTAGTAATTTATAACAGTAGGCAACTACGAGTACCTGACAAGGTTACCTACCTCTTTTTGTCTCGTTTCCGGACAGGATCGAAGATCACTTTCCAGGGAAGTTAATGACCTTAGATCTTCCATTGGAAACCGTTTTGGACTTAAATGGTTAGCCTCTGTGATCTCACGAACACTGTTTGCTTTGAGATCTTGCACCATCCTTATAATGTTCCTCTGTTGCTCCATAAGAATTTCTTGTTTAGTTATTATGTCATGAAGAAGTGCTGAAACAATAAACACAGGAATTGCAAGGTTTACCACACCACCCATGCTATGAAATGAGCATTACACTAGCAGTGAATAAATGTTAGAAAACAGAAAGGAATCTTACATGTTATGAATGGGTCATAGCTCGAGAGGCTTTTTCTCTGGGGTCTGGGTGTTTCATGATGCCACGGTAACTGTGCCGCCTGTTCGGGAGACTGTACAGTTGTGTCCTGTGGCCATGTCAATTCACTGTTATGTTCTGTGATGTCTTGTGATGCTCTGGCTGAACTTCTTGCTTGCCATGGCTGCTGGGAAATCTGGTGAGGTGGCAGAGTTTTTTCATGCCACTCTGAGGCGGGACTTATCTCCAACAAGGATGGTCTTGAAGTTTCTGCAACCTGTGTCACACCCGGGTGCTTTTGGTGCCAAACAGTGGGGTGCGTTTGTCTTTGTCCTAGAGGACTTGGTTGTAACTCATTAGAAGATGAGCAAATCCTTTTGGATAGAGGCTGTATTTGAGAGGCTTGTGGCAAATTTTTTTAGGGGTGTGGTAGCCTCCTCATCACTGTCATAATCATCCAGTAGGCGCCTGTTTCGTCTTTAGAGAAGGCAAGAAATGTAATGATCACTAAATTTGATGAAGTGAGGGTGGTATGTTAATTATTCAGTGAAATATTCCCTTTTTGCAGTTCAAAAAGAAAAATGCATGTTATTTTTTTAAACTGCACAACGAAACAAGGACCTGTTAGACAGGTCTGTGTTAAAGAATTACATAATATACTAGGGCTGCACGATAAATCGCATGCGATATTTAACGCGCATCTTATCAAGGTGAAAGCACACACGTGATGGAGATTTACCGCTGATTACAGAACCGGCTTTACTGACAACATGCGCATTAAATATCGCATGCGATTTATCGTGCAGCCCTATAATATACAGTCTTACTTTATTTTTCGTTTTGGTGGCCTCCGGGAGTCGGGCTCAGCCTCTGACTGGAGATCGGTCTGCTGTTCTGCAAGAGGCAGCTTCTGGCGTGCTTCACTATAATTATCTATGAAAGACAGAATTAAAAAATCAGAACAATCAAAAAGTTGTTTACCATTTAACCTTTTTAATTAAACAATGTGTACAGAAAGGATTTATACATACTTGCAGTATACATAATTTTTACTTTATATGCAGACCAAGACTCCTGGGGTTGCTCCAAACACTAGGTTGCCCTCTGAATTCTTTCACCCTTGTTTGGAGGCCAAAAACACACACCATTCTTCACCAGATTGCAGGCACAACCTCTACTTCTTCAGTGTCAACAAAGCTGACAATGTGGTACATGATTTCTGCAAGCAAAACACAAATGTGGATAAACAACTTATTTAAAAAAAAAAAAGGTAATATAAAAGCAAATACATGAAACCAATTGTGATTCTTAGATGGCATATACTTTCAAAATTTCCAATTACAATTTGTACAAATACCTTCTGGGGTTTTAATGACCACATCATCCTTACTTAAAGGGATAGGTAATATAAAAGCAAATACATGAAACCAATTGTGATTCTTAGATGGCATATACTTGTGTATATTGTGTCCAAGTGTAGCTCAAAATTTCCAATTACAATTTGTACAAATACCTTCTGGGGTTTTAATGACCACATCATCCTTACTTAAAGGGATAATTCATCCAAAAATGAAAATTACCCCATGATTTACTCACCCTCAAGCCATTCTAGGTATTTCTTCTTTCAGACGAATGCAATCGGAGTTATATTAAAAATATCCGGGATCTTCCAAGCTTTATAATGGCAGTGAATGGGTGTTATTCAATATTCCAAATAGAAGCCCAAAAAAGTGCGTCCATCCATAATAAAAAGTGTCCTAATTTTCATTTTGGGGTGAACTATCCCTTTAATTCTCTGAACTGCCATCTGTGTTACTGGCCGATCTGTGTGCATGAATTTTGTCTGTGTTTTCAATCCCTGTACTTCACTGCTGCTTTTTGAGTGCACAACTTGCATTTCAGATCTGGCTTCCAGATCTTTTTTTTCTTTCTGCAAGTAATTTTCAAAAGGAAATCCAGATATTAGGTCTAAGTGACCGTGAAATCTGAAATCACCGCTAAGCTGAATCAAATCATAGTGTACACCACAAATTCTGGGCCATACACCTTACTGAAACGTTAAACAAATGAGACAAGCAGCAATGCATCGGCAAAGTCATTCATGGATAAACAGAATGACGGATATGCTAAAATGCAAATTGCAGCAGACTTAAGCATGAAATTGTTATACACTTGCTCAGCAAGACAACCGCTAAGAACAACTGGCCCTAGTATATAGTACAAACTGTCTAAATTCTGTTGCTTTCCATTTTAGTCTTTCTTCCAGACTCCTTAGTTTTCTGGCAAATTCAAGTGGGACAAAATCTCTTACAGATAGCTTTTACTTGACGCCCAAGAAGAAGACATTGTAAATGCCAAATCCACAAATCCAACAGTCTTCGTACCACACCAGGGCACACCAAATGCATATAATCATGAGAAAAACAACTAAGCATGCCTATATTGGTTTCGACCAGAGGTGAATGTCCTAAGTGGGGATCTCCATCCACAGTTTGCTTAAAAGACTCAAGAGTCCTTTGAGATGCATGAATCTCAGGGAAAGTCATGCGGTGGTTCATGTAAACATCTGTCACATCCAGAATAGCGACAATTAGATTTAATGCATTTGACAAAGGCTCTAGCAGGAACATCACATATAACTGAAGTTACCTTCAACCGAAAAGTCTTACCACAAATAACAAATCCCTCTCTCAAACTATTAACTCCTTTACAGGAGCATCTATGTAGTCTGAAAGGGACGTTTGTTTAGTTAATAAAATAAAGCAGTTAAAACTGGTCTTTTCATAACACAATCAGAATTTAAAACAGAATTTAAGAGACGAGCTTCTAAACAAAAGGTAGACCATCTTTATATTTAGTCAGAGAGAGGAAAGAATTATACATGAACAAAAAGCAAATCAGGTAACGCTCTGTAGAAGAATTGGTGAAATCTACGAGTTAGTTGAGATTTGAAAAAATGTAAACTTACATTTAAGTACTAAATGATTGTAGCGTGATTGTCGAAGTCCTCCAGACTGTGTTGGTAAATATTAGCGGCTGGCTAACTGCTACGCAACATCTTTATATTTAGTCAGAGAGAGGAAATAATTATACATGAACAAAAAGCAAATCAGGTAACGCTCTGTAGAAGAACTGGTGAAATCTACGAGTTAGTTGAGATTTGAAAAAAATGTAAACTTACATTTAAGTACTAAATGATTGTAGCGTGATTGTCGAAGTCCTCCAGACTGTGTTGGTAAATATTAGCGGCTGGCTAACTGCTACGCAACTTCCGGATCCTCTGTTGTGTGTCACGAGGTGCACTCTGGGAAACGTAGTCCTTTTTTGTAAAGCGGATTTAACGACGTAGATGTAAATCAACTACTATTTGCAAGATGCACTGCAAACTACGTCCGCAACCACAACTATGGATACATCCAAAGAACTAAACTCCTTTCTATTGTGATTATAGATGTATACCCTTCTGTTAGTATTATTTTTTCTTTCTTCCTTTCTTTTTTCCCTCATAAAAGGTTAATGTCCTGTTTGTAATGTTTCTTTATGGTATGAATGTTAAATGTTCAGCACATAAAATAATATATATATAATTATTATTATTATTACAAGGAAATCAAAATACCCATTCTCATACCCATATTTACTCTCTAAATACCCATTCAGTCTTATGTCTTGCATGATGCTGCACAGACTGATCCATTTGTTTCTGTCTTTGATCATTCTGCAAACATTTCGTTTTGTTTTTCTCGTTCTGCACTGAAACCTTGTCTGCCTTAACTGCCCTTCAAAATAATCTTGTCAACAGAATGATCATCAAGTCTTTTCTTTAAAAACACTTTTATTACTGCCCCCTCGTGATTAATTACTTGTATTCATAGTTCTTAAATCGCTTTTGATAAAAGTGTCTGCTATTTAAATAAATATCGTATAGGCTAGGATATTTAACTAGAACAAAGACATTTTCAGTTTTTATTCTTTTTGACAAAATTAACTTTATGATGATATGACATAATAAATATGAGCTGCTTAACACCACACACATCTTACACAAGGCTGTTTTACTTTAAAGCACATTCATGCCAGAGATCTTTGATTTACTCTTCGGGTAATCACAACCCACCCAGATCTCAGCTGAATATTTTCTTTTTCTGGCGGACCATCCAGCCATGGCTATCTGTTTGGCTGAGCTGTGACTGGAGTATTGCTTTTTGTTTCTTTTGGTTGGCCAGACCCCAGCCAGAGCTCAGCCTAATGCTGTTTGGCACAAGACTGTGGAGAAAAAAACAGTGCCAGAATTAAGCCAGACTCTGTTGCTATCTGGGGAATCTTCAAAGCATTTTGTGTAGGATTTCTGCTGAAATAAATAAATATGCCAGTCTTTATAACCAAGGTAGCCTAATTTTGAATCTATTATTCAAAATGTAGACTCAGAATAACAACTAATGAGCTATTTTTTTTATTGAAAGAAACTGATTTCTCTGATCAAAACAGATCAAAGCAGTTCTAAATTAGTTTTAAAAATCTGTTTCTTGAATGTGAAATGTAATAAGTAGTGTAACTATTTCAATTAATTTATTAAAGTAATGTAACTGATTACATTTGATTACGTTTCTAAATTTCAAACAAATGTTTTCAACTGCTAAAATGCTACCGTTTAAAATTATAACAAGAAACCGTTAACTTTTATTGGTAAGAGCTTATTTTCTGCAGCACTCCAAAAGCTAATGGAAAAATAATACTAGTTTTTTTGTGAAGGAACCACGGTGATGCACTTCCGGGCTGGCCTACAAAAATACATCATAATACGTAATTTCTACACCATTCTATTAACATTTGTCATGAATGTGAAATGAATAACATCTTTATTTGTCACTTTTAAATTACAAGACAATATCCAGTGGCGTATGACACAACATGAAAAAAAAAACAAGAGAAAGTAAATTCACGACAAACTCCCAAAAACCTTCTCAAAGGCATTTTTGTCCACCACTCGTCCCAGTCTGGTAGAGAAGTACATAGTATCAGAACGGCTGTAGCGCTTTAAACACAGGATCGGTTCTCCTTTGGCATCCCCAGACTCTCCCAGAGTCATGACATCGGACACGGGCACGTATATGTCCCGTCTGTGACCCCAGAAGGTCAGGTGCGACACCTTTAAGACGGTCCGCGTTGAATCCAGATACAGCTTATGGAGTACAGCATGATGCCGGCAAACACAGCTATGCCTGTGGAGTAACTCAGCAGCATTACTGACGCCTGTCCCTGCAGGTAGAGGTAGTACACTGTGGGCAATAAGACGACGGTGATGCCCGTCTGCATCAGTTTGAGTCTAGAAAGAGCCCGCAGGCCTTTGATAGCCGGAAAAGTGTAAATTAGACTGTATTTCCTTGAGGCAAGATCAGAACTGAATGACACAGCATGTGTGGATGTAATGGGCTTCCTGCGACCCACGTGCACCAGGTCACTGCTGTATTGCACATGAGTGTGTGAAATGAGTCCTGCACGATGACACCGGCACCCATATAGAGGAAGACGGGAGATGTGGATTAAGCGTGCTGACATCATCTGAGGAGACAGTAACCATGGTAACAGTAGTTATTAAAAGTTGACTTGATAACTCCAAAAAAACACAAAAAAACTTGATAATACAGCACACTTACTTAAAAATACTTATACCACGTTTATCCTGTGGGTACAAGTAGAGTAAGATACTGGCTGTCAAGGGCAATCCTTAGGGGAACTCAGATTGAGGATATGTGCTAAAGGGTTTCAGGCTGCTAAATATTTGACAATGAAAGACAATACACGAAAGATGGCAAAATAATACAATACAATGTATTAAAATCAACAATTTATGCAGTTTTGAACGCACTTAGCATCTGCATACAAGTTCAGTGCATCGCGCAGTTGTTCTGTGAAACGGGATAGAACAGAAAGTCAGGGAAACAAACTTCAAAGTAAAAGTCCTTGTGCTGTTATCGCAATAAAATAACTTTTATATACGTTTGAAATGCAAAAAATAAATAAATACAATAATTCAGTTGTACAATTAAATCAAATAATAAATGGTTGTATTTTTAGTTTGACTTTTTTTTGCTCAATTTTATCTCATATCAATCAAAATCTTTTACACACGGGGTTTTTATGTCTGCCTTTCAAAGGACAATCATTGTATGAACTCAGTTTAAACGGTATTTGCAACTCGTGTTCTAGGCAGCTAAGACATATTAATTACAAAGAAAACACATAAAACAAATGGCCTAAAATGTACTAAAATTAACAATTTGTGCAGTTTTGAACGCACTTACCAGCTCTAGACAAGTCCAGTGCATCGCGCAGTGCTTCTGTGAAGCTGAACACTTCATAATAAAAGTCTCTGAGTTGTTTATAAACTTGTCAAATGTTTTATATACACATTTAAATTATAGTTTACGAAATAATAAAATTAACTGTTTTTTTGTGTGTGAAATTTACTTATATTAGGCATTCATTTATATTATTTAACCAAAAATCCTTTAAACACAGGAACTTTTATGTTGTTATTTTCAATAGTAGGAACTTTCCACCAACGCATCGCATCGGATAGTTATTTTATTTTAGAGATCTTGCGCTCTTAGCTCATCAAGCAGGCTAACCAGGTTATTGGCACGATACGACACGCAGTATAAATGCATTCATTTAGGATGTCATTAATATCAGTTAATGCTGTTTACTGTGATGAGGTCGTCAGCAGTCAAACTGGTCACGCGAGCAATTTCGCAATGCATCCGTGATGTCATTAATACATTTTTTTATGACAGTTCATCAATGCAAGAAGCAGGTCTGACATACAGTTGTGTGGCAATGAATGATTCGAGACTGAACGCTCGCGATGCGGATTTCATCTGAAAGCAACGACGCTTGCATCGATCGAGTAGCTGACCGCTGACCCTACATGTTTATTGATCACCGATTGATTAGTTGCAGTAATAGCGCTCGTGGTTTGTAGGTTCGTTTTCTCATCATGCTTCATTTAGGAGATGAGCTCACGCTGTTCTCTGTTGTCTTCATCGTGGTTCTGCTGGGAACCAGAAGCGCCGTCTGGCCCACGGTGCTCACGGCCTCTCTCTACCTCTTCATGGTGATGTTCCGGTTCCCCCAGGTCCCCTCCAGCCGGGCCAGACAGGTGCTTCGGCCCGGGTCTAGAGTGTCGTCGGGCGGCGTGTCAGCGGTGGCGCACCGCGGTGGTGGACACGACGCTCCAGAGAACACC